TTATTTTAATGATTTTTCTTTTAGTAATATTATTTTTATGATTTTTATAGATCCTATAGATAACCGACTCTGATACCAAATGAGAGTGCTACTATGAGCGAACAAAAATCTAATAATCTTAAAATCTTAAAATAATTTCCTATTGGCATTCTAATTTTATAACGTATTATGTAAATCTTCAAAATCTAATAATATTTGAAAATTTATATTATCTAGATCTGTTATTATATCTATATTTGGATTAAAAAGTATATCATATTTAAAAATATTCTTTTTTCTTTTTTCCAATTTGTCAATAATATTATGTATGTCATTTATTATTATAGATCTTACTATTCCTATAGCAAAATTTTCNTAGATCTTACTATTCCTATAGCAAAATTTTCTATCATATGTTCTTTAAAACATTTTAATATTTTTTGAGATGCATTCAATTGTTCTTGATATCCAATTTTATCAAATTCATTTTCATTTTCAGATTCAATTTCTTTTTCATCTTTTATAATTTTCTTAATCTTGTATGGTCCTCTTTTAGTTCTAGGTTTTTTATAATTTTTATTAGTCACTAGGACTTGGTTGTATATTTCTCTTATTTTGGGTTGCTTGAATGTAATTACTATCTTTTAGGGGTATTTTAGGTAGTTTCAAAGTTTGGAAAAGTCAAAGGCTATTTTGGAATAGGGTATAGTTGAATTTTGGTATTTTCAATAATTTCCCGAAAATGAAAGGGTTCGATTAAATTTACTTTTATAATATTTTTATTAGTATTTAAAAGATCATCTGATATATGAACAAAAATTCTTTGAGTTTGATTTTTGAATTGGGCATTTTAGAACTTTGAATAGGTGTAATTTCCACAATAAAAAAATCATTAGAAAAGCAAAGTTTACGAATTAAAGCACGCCCTATTCTAGAGCTATAAATAGATCGGTTATGAATTGAATTTTTTTTATATAATAATTATTCAATTCGATCCGATCCAATCTGACTGTAAATGGACCGAATCTATCCATATTCGATTTGATCCAATAATCTAATGGATATTTGATTATTGAATCCATATCTGATTGGATATGTTATCAAATATCCAATTTGAAATTAAAGAAACTAGGAAAATAAAATCAACATTGAAATTAACTTTTTCATTTTATTTTTTTTTCCAATTCTTAAACGAGTTTAATAATTATAAATTTTTCAACTTTTAGCCAATTGAATTGAAGACACAAAAGTTGCTTACTCATTTATTGACTCACTTATTTATAGATGACATTTCCAAACATTTTGTTATATACTTTTGATGTGAGATAATAATACACTTGGTTTGGCTGTAGTATAGTGTACCTTTGGTTTGAATATAGTTTATTGTACATTTGATTTGATTGTAACATATTGTAATATTATATAAAGTTATTGATATTTTATCAAATTAATCGTTTTCCCCATCGTTTACTAATTAATAAAAATTTAAAACTTTCCAAATATTTCAATTAACACTATTATATTATATCTTATTGATCGAATATATTTATTTTCTTAAGCTTTTAAAACAGATTTGATACTATAATTTGCATGTATTATTAAATAATTCTTAGATTGATTAAAAATTTAAAATAAGATTTTTTTTTTTTAATGTGTAGGCTTCATCTAAACTCGCATAGCCCAAAACCTCCACGCATTACGCTTTTTAGAATACTGTGTACACATGAATCGACTTTTTTTTAATGTATAGAATTCGATGACTTTTTTATTCTAAATTTCTTTATTTTCTCATTTATTTATTTTAGTGACAAATAACACGTCATAAAAATATTTAACCTACTCAACTATTGATAACAAATCGGATCGGTTTGTTATCTGATCGGATTAACCTATATTCACATTTGATCCATTCAGTTAACAAATTATCAGATTCGGATCTTGATCGAATTATCGGACTTAAACCCTAAATTCATCCTCCATTAATTTCATCGAATTCGGATAAAAAACCAATCAATTAACAGCTCTATCCCATTCACTGGGTTATTTAACAAATAATCTCGATACTATCAAGTTATTGAACTGATAATCTCGAACCTAATTAGGGTGGATGGTTCAATTTCTTTCAATTTTCTCATGAAACCAAACTATTTTTAGTTCAAATTTGTTGAACAACTAATTTTTAGCTGAAAATAGGGAATCAATCGATCGATTTAAGTTCAAACCACTTTGAGCGGCTCTTTGTATACTAATTTATTAAGTTTACAAGTGTATTGATAAATATTTGTGTCCGCGACAATGAGAATGTTCCGCAAGGTAGGGGTCGAACCTAGGACATTCTGCTTAGGAAACTGAGCTACATGCGCTTCAGTCACTAATTTCATACATTTAACTCCTTGGTGAAGTTGACGATGCAACTCGGTAAAAACAGATTGTATTTTGAGTCAAGAAATTATTTTAATAGTAAATGAGGTGAGAAAATATATAATTGAAATATAAACGGATCAACATTTCTTCTTTTATATACTTGTATTAAATTTATCTCAGGAAAGAGAGATTGAAAGAAAGGGCTAAATCAGCTGCAAATATGTATCATACGCCCGAAAATAATCAAGCATCCACCAAAAATCCACGCACCAAGTAATAAAATTTCGGATATCAGGATTCATGATCGAAGATTATTGTACAGACCAGTAAATTATAATAAACAAAAAACTCCAATTGCCCATTTCCAGACATGACGACACAGCTCTGAATTATGGGGCCATTTTTTCAATTGACAGACATTGCATACAGTGTTGTTAAACATTTTTGGGACACCTTTTACCAACAGTAAAAGGGGCCATAATTTTCAATCTTCACTAAAGGGCCATGTCCCCAATTTATATAAAACATGAAATGCTACAAAAAGGGGATGCGAAAATAAATCAAAGAAAGAACAAAAGAAATAAAAGAGAAAAAGCTGGATTATTAAAGGCCTAACTATAGCCACTATACAACCAAAATGTTGATATGTATTATAAATTACACAACCATACAAAATTCCCGGATTTTTCAAAGCAGGGAAGCACCTTGAAAATACTGGTAAAAGCAGGAAGTTTGTAGCGCGGTCTGTACCAACCACAAGAAGCAAGATACATTTGGGAGTCAAGGCCCCCCTTTCCTCATGCTAAATCAAATAATTATAGCCAAAGAAACCGTCGTGGAAAAACTAGGGGAGAAAGAAAACTACCACACTATTCCCTTTCCTGCCTTTCATTCTCCTTTTCAGTATCCCAGTCTTCAGATTGTTCACATTTTCACCATTGCCTCAGAGCAAGCATTTCTTCTTAATTGTATATTTTGACAGGCTTCTCAAATGTATGTCGGTTCTGCAATTATCAGAAAAACATAAGGATTTGAAAACATGGTCCAGGAAATATATATTCTTGCTGGAGAAAACCTCAAAACCTATAAAAATATAATAAAAAGTTGAAACACACTTCAAATTTGAATATACTTCAGAAATATCAGATGAGAATTCTCAATATTGGTGCCTCCCCTATTATCCATCCAGTGCCGCACAATAATATAAATCATACACATACTATATCAATCAAAAAATCTACCTGGTTTGCAGTATACGCCCTCTTTGGAGTAGTATCAGAGTGCTCTAACCCAAGGTACTGCTCCCAAGCACCGTAAACGTCTCTCCTCTGGAAGAAGATAATACGGATTACAGGTTCAAGAAAAAAAGAACTAAATAAAAGAATAATAAGACAAAAAAATTAGAACAAAAATATGACCTGGAAACGACTAGACACAATGTCAGAGTCTTCAAGATACTCTGGACGACCCAGTGACAATGCAGCAAACTTCCACTGAACATTAAATACAGAATCAAATGAGCAAAAGTTTAACTTAACAATTAAACTACACAAACAACTCAGCAGAAGCAACTTGTAGTAAGCAAAGCATTAATTATTCAATACAGCATTTATACTGTTAATACCTTAGAAAACTCCTCGTCTGGAACCTGTAATTTCTTTTGAATCCGCAATTTAACATCTGACAGCATTTCACCTTCATGAATAACCAAGAAGAAGGGTTCCCCGAAATTTTGGATTTGCTGTTTAGAAAAAAAAAATTGCCAGCATCTTAGATCACATATCCATATCAAGAGCATCATCATTGAGACAGTAACTTGGTCCAAATACGATCAAACGGCATTAAATGCAATCAACATAGAAACTATGTCAGTGCTGGTACCACTTGATTCTGAGCACACTCTTTCGTAAAATGGTAAACATGAATCAAGCGGTCATTTGGACCGAGGTTCTTCTCTTCTTCTGGAATCTGAGATAAAGAACATACCACATTTAAGTAAAAGACATTGGAATTAGAATTTGAAAGAACACTCCTTGTCATAATTATATTAAAAAAAAAAAACTGTGAATGAATATCCAAGTAGCAAAGTAAAAACTCCTATAGAAGTGGCAAAATATTCATATAAGAAAGGACAAACTGAAACAATTTCCAAATAATACACACACGTGTCGCTAAGCTAAACATAAGAGCAAATATGAAACTTTAACGCAGCTCTTCGGCTCTTCCTCAATTATATCAATCAGTCTTATCTCTAACTTCAGAAGATAATAAATAGCAAAGTTTCAAACCAAAGATAAAACTGCATGTGCATGAAAATAGAGCAAGCAAAGAGAGCAAGAAGGAGATTTTGAAAGCAGAAGAGCTCACCTCCTCAGCCCGCAAGGTCCAGTATTGGTCATTTATATTCTCAATCTTTTCATTGAGAGGAAAGATCTGCAAAAGTTGGGAAACAAAACATTAATTACATCATGTAATGAAAAACTTTGTTTCAATAAAAGATTCAAATCCATTCAATAATCACAAATGTGGCTCATGATAACAAATTAGCATGTTCCTGTAAAAGAGTATGTCTCCGGAAGGATCTCCAAACCATGTAAAGACAATTTTTTTCAGAGCGAAACAACCTCAGAAGAGTGTTGCTAGCAGTTTAATCGAAGAAAAGACCTCTTAGAGTGTGTTTGATAGGTATGGAAAATATATCCTAGAAAATAAAAGGTTTTCCTTGTTTTGAGGAAAACAAAAACCTACTTCCCCCAAAGAGAATGTTTTCCTTAAAAAAAATGAAAATTAGGTATATTTTCAAAAGTTGGAAAATATTTCAATGGAAAAAAATAGCAATCAAACACTCCAAAGTAGGATTTTGGGTAGAAAACTGACATTTTCCATGGAAAATAAATGCAATCAAACACACACTTATAGTAAAGTAACAAAATATAGAAATCCAACTCTACAAGTCTGCATATGACAAGCCTACAAAGAAAGCTGCGCCGCAAAGTACAGTTCAGAAAGATTTATGCCAACAATATCAGGTCTCAATCTATTCAGCCTCAGCAAAAGAGACATTACCTTATAAATTTTGTGATAGAAAACTTCAAGCAACCTAAGTCCGGCATTTGGATGTGACAACTCTACCTGCAGAAAGACAAAAAAATAATGTCAGTCTTACCCTGTTTTGTTCTCACCTAAACAATCCAATGCAGAGCTGAATTGCAACCAGAAAAATCAATTATTACAGGTCAACTTCATTTTCCATTATACATCTTTTTTCCCACGACAAAAGCTGAAGAGCAAAATTAACTCCAACAGCTAAGGGAAATTTAAAAGGAATAATGAAGAAAATAGAAGATTCACTTTTTTTGAAAATAATTATGTGCAGATTAGCATGCTTAGAGCAATGAACTAACCTTTTCTTTTATCACATTAAGCACATCCCCCACTGTACCCTGTTTCGGCAACCTAATATTGAGAATTACAGCCTGAAAAAAACATTGTGTCAATGGCTATAAGGCGTACACAAAATCAAGTCAAGAGGGGATGGAACAGAGTATCAAAGTCATGGGTATACACCTCATCCTTTGTGGCAGAGTGAAAAGCAACTTTCAGTGTTTTGAGGCATTGTAATTGTGGCAGAGGAATGTCCAGTACTTCATAATAAAGAATATCAGAGATCTATCAAAAGGAAACCAGAGATTATGAATCCATGGATTAATCACCCCACCCATCAACAAAAAAGGAAAAAAAGGCAGAAGAATTCATGGTAGAGCAACCTGATTGTAGTGCACAAGCATGTCTACCAACTGATCAACCGATCTATATTTGATGGGAGTAGGCTTTGGTTGCTGAGAGTAGCAATTATGAGGAGTAAGCCGAATTTTAGATGGATCATCCAAGCCGAGACGTTGAGCAAGCCTTTCCACAACATCATCATAAGTGTGGTTCTTTGCCCTACAGATTTATGCCAAAACGGTTAAAAACACATAATGCTCAATGTTGCTCAAAATTACATAAAAAAGAATAACCATACTACTAGTACAGTCCTCCATTGTCTGCAATAATGGTATCGGAAAGTACTCACAACTCTAGGCAGAATTCATCTTCCTTGGGTCTCTCCAAAGCTCGAAAATGGACAATCTACAAATGATAAATCCATATTAAAACTGTTCAGAAGAAGAGGTAAGAAAATGCAGAAGAACCGCATTCACATTCTTGGTACAACAAAATAAATAAATAAAAAGTATAATAACGAAGGAATGACATTGTAACAACCCATTGAAAAAGTCAAAAGACTGCAATGAGAGGACAGAAGCAAGTCATAACTGAGAGATTGCAAGATGTGACCAGACTTCACAAAAATGGCTCCACTCATTTTCCACGTATGGTCTGTGGCTTGAGTTCAATTGATAGCGTAATGCAAATTCAAATTCATATACTTCGCATCTTTTCAATTGACATAAAAGCAATAATGTCCAAAACTCAAAACTCAAAGTTAAACCTATTTATACTTTTGAGATTTATTTTATTGTGTAGGAAGTGCATCATATCCCCGCCACCAAAAGAGAGAGAGAGAAAGAGAGAGATTCCCCTATGGGCTGTCTCTGGACAACTTAACAGGTCTGAATTAAGAAACCCGATGTACATATATTACCGTGTAGTATGTATGAATTCAGTCCATGTTCCCAGATTACAGTGCAGATCTATTAAGCCAATCAATTATGACGCTAACCACTGTAGATATGGTGGTAATTGAGAATATGCCTCTAACGAGTATACAACTCCTTTATACATTCCAATCACAGGCATATAATTGCAAATAAGTAAAATATGCATTGTGTTTAGGTTAGACTATTCTATTTTGTTCAATTAGAAGGCTTTGATTGTGCCACAAAAATTATAAAGCATGCACCATTTCTTCGAATATCAAAAGCAAAGAGAGGAAAGAGGAAAAAATGAAGACTAAAACTTGTAACACATAAAAAGTACAAAATTTACCTGGCGGTTTTTCACATATTCCAAAAAATAAGGAACATGAGAAAATCGAAATTTTTCTTCACTTTCAGGGAGAGGCTTTTTCTGGAAGCAAATGATGTCACCATCTTCAATCTGCAGGAAAAGAGGAAAAGAAAGGGTGTGGGGAATTAGCAAATAAAAATTATAGAAAAATACCTTCAAATGCTGAACAGCCCAATATAACAAAAATACCTGGCTTGACCGAAATGAAGCTCTTTTGTCAAGGCGTTCACACATGACAGAAGGCTCAAATTTTATTTCCTGTAGCATTAACAAACAAGAGGATTGCCGTGTTCAATGGATGATGATGCATAATATATTTGGGTGCCAGTGTGCGTGTGCTGTAGTGCACTAATCAGACAAACCTCGAAAAGTTCAATCTCTTCATCAGAAGCAAATCCAGCCAATTCATTTAGTTTTGTCAGGATCTCAATTGGCTTGCTAGAGCTTTTAACAAAAAGCCTACCAACATACCTGGAAACAGAGAATGAATAACGTAGTCAAAAGGTTTGGATGCACACAAAAACACAAATACACAGACACATACACACTTAAAAGCACAAAATTACCTAAGCTCTTCTTTATCTGGATCATAAAGCTTGAAGAACAGAAGAATGTCTTCTTTACTTTTGTCAGGTGGAGGAACGGGATGTAGATCCTATATATAGAGCATTTAACAACAAATTACAGCCAGAACAGATCATAGAATCATATTGACGACAGTGGTCAAGGTTATCTAGTAGTCTGTTAAAAGATACCTGTCCACATTCTATTTCCAAAAACAACTTCAGCTCTGCATTGTGGGCCTTATTAGAAACTTCTCTCAATGCTCCGACCTGTACAGTATCATTATCATTCTATCACAAGGTGAAATAATATTTTAGAACTAAAAAAATCAAATGAAATAGCAAATAAAGGATATGTCCCACGAAGTTCATGAAATATTAGAACAAAAGTGAATGTGATTAAGACAAAATCAACCTAGACTGCCACAATGAAATAAGGCAGTGAATAGGCGACCAGACAGCATACAGAAAGAAAAATCAACAAATGCACAAAAACCACACCATAAAATTGACTTTAGACTGTAATTTTCGACTTCCTAAAGCTGATATGTTTTGACAATGTTCTTATGCTATAAAATTTTCCTTTTAAATGCATATGGTAATGATCAAATATGTTGTTAATCAATTTGGATCAGGAAAAAAGGAAATTCGGAAAGATGGTGACTGTTTGCTCACAACAACTTTCTAATGAAGATGTTCGCAAATAAATTAATGGAGTATTTTGTGAACTATAATGAAGAAAAATAAAAAAAATAAGTCAAAGGTGGAAAAGAGAGAAATGACCATACAGCAATATAGATGCAGAACTCGCACACAAAGATGATAAGAGCGAATAGTCAGAAGAAAGACGAATTTAGGGTGAAAGAAACCTGTAATTTGATATCAATAATCAAAAATAGTTAAATACAATGAAATCCTAGATTCCCTTTTCAAGGTAAAGAACTTTTAATGTATCAAAAACTAATCAAATAAACAAGATTCTAATTAATAAAACTACTGAAATTTAATCTAACTTAAAACAATATCTTCAATCCTAATCTGTTTTAAATGTTTTCCATTCCCATCCTTATTCTCCATCAAATATAGTTCCAGTGTTGTGCTTCCAATCAATGGAAGAATTTCGTCACCCCTACCGTGGAATATGGCTTATTAGTTGTGATTCTTTTCTCTTTTTTCTTTTGCCTGGTGGATTAGAAGTGACAGATTTTGATCGATTACTATGTATTTACCTTTTTCCAGGTAAGTACTCCATGTCTTCAATTAAGGAGTACAATGCCAATCCACACCAATATAGAGAAAGGGAAAAAATCACGTGAACAAAATTTTAATTCTCCAAAAGAAAATAAATGGAAGTGTGTTTGATCCCTGTCCTGTGCCATTTTTAAAGCCATCAATGAGCAACTATGCTCTCAGCGAAGGTCTAAGAAAACTATCGACTGCAAAAAATTCAATCTCTAAATGTCAAAACATTGAAGACAACCTTAAAATAGCATTAGCAAATATATCATTAATCCCAGCCAAGCTTATTGTTGCCATTTAGGTTGGTTATAAGAAGCGTCTCCCATTTTCTTTATTTATGGTTACAAATTCATTTAAGCACAGTTTACTGCTGCTCTTAAAGAGGTTCACAAAACCCACTCATAACAGGATGATCTCCACATTTGCCTTTCTTCTCTTTTTTCTTTTTTTCATATTTCCCACTCGTTTGAGGAAATTATTTTCTTATTTATCAGTAATTCTTGTCCTAAAACCTGAAATCAATTCTAATTTAGCCACCTTGCAGTATCCAACTTCTCCACAATCATTTTAGTCTTTGTTCACGGACTGTTTACCCTACACAAAACGTTCTTGCAACTGATTATAAATCAAACATTTAGTCAAACCACCTTGTTACAATATGTTCTAAACAGCTAAACCTTCTTTAGGACCATCTCTTTGCCAATTATGCTATAATAGTTTGTAAATTGGTGCTCTTCAGCTTGCCTAAATCATAAACCAATCATCCTCTCAAAGTTAAGTTGGCATAAGGAATAGAATAGGAATCCTTCAATGCACTAAGTGCAAAAACTAAAGTTGTGATCAGCACAGATATTATCATCATTATGTAAAAATATCAATAAGGAGAAGGAAACAGTAAATTACAGTCTGTGCTTCCTCCTGTTGGTTCAATGGACGGTTTGGACGATAAGTATGGTTCTGTCTCTTTGCCCAAATCCAAAAACGCTGAAATTGAACTGGAATGCCAAATTCTTTGGCAACCTCCTCCTGTAACAAGCAGAAAGAAATATACATTAAGTTACATTAACATGTATTGAATTGATACAATTATTTAACCCAGACGTGCTGCGGACAATTGACAATCATAAGTGGAAAATACAATGGAAGTTCGAATAATTAGAATAATGAAATATTTTGTAAGCAAGATCATAAAGGACAAAGGAACAGAAAAAATACTGCTTCCCATGCCATATCAAAGCATTAGACATGGCAGGAATCATAAACTGCGATTCCATGTAAGCTTAGTAGCTTAAAATGGAAATATGGAGAAATGCAGAGCCAGCCAGAGCAGTTATTAGTTAGGAGAATAAACACAGTGACCGGGATGTGTTTTCTAGGGGAAGGGCGGCGGAGGAAGACTTAAATGGGGGGCTGAATCTCCTTTGCAAGATAAATCATTTATACAAGGTCTACAGCGAACTTACTCCTCTCCCCCCATCCGCCAGTGGGCCAACACCAATGCTATAAGAACTATAAATAGAAACCATAAATGATGAGATGAAAATCATGTTGGATTTGAATAAGACATTAACAGGGGAAAAAAGAAAGAAAGAGAGAGAGAGAGATTTGAAAAAAGGAAAATTTTAGTTAAGGAGAGGCTGAGCCCTGACACATATCATGTTGTTAGAAATATCAGTGAGGTCTAGAAAGCCTAAAGTTTGGTTTTAGTTTTTACATTGATTAAAAGAATGGTATGCAATGTTTAAAAAGGCATAATCAGGCACCGAGGCATTTAAATAAATATCATTTATTCATTCAATTTACTTTGACCTGCTCGACCCTGATACAACCCTTTGACCCTTGAGCCTTTAACTTTTCCAGGTCAATTTCCAGGCCAGGTTTTCAAAACATAGATATTTACCACATTTGGGTTCTCAAGTGCTATGCAACTTTCTCATGGATGTGTTTGTCTAAAGTATGTTCAGAAAAAAAAAATAATAATAATAAAAATAAATTGCTCTACATTCATTACGCAGAAACAAATAAATCCAATCTCAAGTTTCATTTCATTAATAGACAAGTAAGCAAGATCACCTTGAAAAGATTAAAAGGCATCTGTTTCTGAATTCGAAAACTACGGACTTTATCATGATCAACAAGATCAAAAAATATATCCTTCCCAATCTGTTCCCTTAAATCCTCGTCTCGAGCAACCTGCATATGCCAGCAAATTGCTTCAGCGCACCAATTCAGCAGAGATCAAGCTTACATGAGAAAAATAGTCCACTAGGACAACCTTGATAACGGTATAAAGGTGGGCCTGCGCTTTATATCTTCTCTTGTCTTCCTTCTCTTCTTGTTCTTTTTTCAGTCTTATCTGGAATAAGTAAAGGATGTGAGGTTTTATGACACAACTCAATACATCAAATAGGACGAAAGAATGAATTCCAGATCTAGAAATTAACAAATTTACCCTAAGATGTTCTGCAATGTCCTTCTCATCCACATCACAGATTATCTTATCCTTGTCACTCACACGTATATACACAAGCATGTAGGCATTTGAGTATTTTGTAAATTTAAATGGAGTATTATTGAAACCAGGATTTGTCTGCGGCAACTGTTGGACAAAATGAATATTAGAAACAGAATAAAAATGGAAGTGCGACAAGATATAAATGTCGGGATCTAACCTCTTCCTCACCGCCATACTGCTCCTCTAATGCTCTCTTTGTATCTTCTTTAGTGACCCTCTCATCATCAAATTTGTACCTAAAAGGGAACCACAAACCTCAAATCAAGCCTCCTATGATGTTCAAGTACTTTTAAAACATAATCAAAACTCATATTCTCACATACACCAATAAAAAAATAAACATACACAGATGGGATGCGTATGAATGAAGTACTAAAACAACTAAGACTAAATGAACGAGTCAGTGATTAAAAATGCACGTCAGCCTATAAGAATGAAACTTCAGATGAACATATCTCCCCTCCCCGAAGAGTACAAATGTATAATCCTTCACAAGAAGAGAAGAGAACATGCATACACATAGGTTGGGGGGAGGGAGAGATTCTTCAGAGTATGACACGTACCACTGGTCAGAAAGGGTTGGCCTGATGAAAGCATAATAATGTCCACCATGCACCCCACCGCTATGTACCAGAACACTGTTGCAAAGGAATAAAACAAGAGAATAAATTGCGGATACTCAAATCAATCAACTCTAGATTGCTCCACATACCTCATAACCAGATTTCCAGCTGTATACTCAAATCAATCAATTACAGATAGCAATATTTCATCTTAAAATTACTACATTTGATCCACACCTCTTAACCAGATTTCCAGTTGGATACTCCAACTCCAAGAAATCACGATCAAATGATTTTAAGAAAATATGTAAACAATTTTTCAACTATTAAGATGGTAAGCAGCTCAAGACACAATGTGAGTCAGGATGTTATAAGCAGCGAGAAGATTCAACAGGAAACAAGGATCAGCAAATGCTAAAAAACCAAGAACTACCAATGCAGGTCTCCAGATGCGTGTTGGGGAAGGCAATTCGATTGGGGTGGTGTAATAGAGGAGCTCATCCCATTACATGAAAATCTGTAATGAGATTTCTTACTCGAGCATTTGTTTTCTTTCTGATCCCTTTCTAATTCAGTGATAGTTTCTTACCCACTTGCAAGTTCAACGGACACAGACACACATACGAGGGCACATAATGGATACATCGGACAGTAGAGGAGAAGGAGGGAGAACAAACTACCTATGGAGCATGTAAAGGTTACGTACGCTCCTATCTGCATCAGGTGACAAATATTTACCGTTGTCTTTATCAAGGTCAAGCTCCAGCGGAAATTCATAGCGATCATTTATCTGCACCATGAAAGCAATATTTAGACATTGAATCAAAAGATATACCATAGTACGGAAGGATAAATAAATCACATCAATGACAGGGGCCTTGACAATCACAAGGCATAAACTCTAAAATGTTAAAAAGAAAAAGATTAGATAGAACTTATATGCTTCCAGTAAATATTTTGGAAAAAAATCCATTACAAAGAAAATGTACTAGACTGATAAGACAAGTGCTTGACCAACATTTTACATATGAATCAGAACACGATGAAACTAGATTCTAGGTAAGATTTCACCTTCATCGTCAACAAGTGAACAAGCAAAACCAGTTAGAATGCAATATTTTCATTCTTTTTTTACATTAAAAAGCATTAATATCATGAAGCACAAGCACAAATTGGGGATACAACCAAATTGCACGCGGAGTTGAAAAAGGGGTATATCTCAAAAGGAACATTATGCACGAAATAAAATCATCCATTGGAAAAGACGTGACATTTTGGCTAGCTCATGGAAATGAATTACTTTCACTAGAATACCTAGATCAAATCATTAGATTTTCATAATATAAAGACATTACACTTTGATTACTCAAAATTGGTTATGATCCTTCTCCCTTTTTTTCTCAGCTTCTGTTTACCCTGAAGGGACTTTACGCAGTATCTAAACTAAGAATAATCGCAGGTTTATATCAATGCTCACTCAACATCTGCCTAAGCAGCATAAGTGGTTATGTGAGAAAACATTAAATATGAGAACAAACTAGCATTTCCAATTCTGAGCTAATAATCATGTATTCAAAAAAAGAAAAAAAAAATTACATTCCTAGGACAGAATAACCAATTCTTCAAGGATACTTTAATTTTCTACAGAATCGAACCACTCAATGCTTCTCACTAATCTCTCAAACCCTTAACAATGCTCCAAAATGAAAGGTACCCGTTGCATTAACAAAAAGGGTGCTAGAGAGATGAGCTAGCAAAAAAAAGGTTATAACATATTTTCTTCAGACATCAGTGTGTTAAGTCTTTATCTCTGACATTAAAAATGATTTTTGGTATATCTTTGATGTAATTGTCTTACACAGAATAACTCAGAATAATAAAATATGAACTATAAGAATACTCAAAGTTTTAGGCCGATTGGTAGGACATAGATGAAACTTTCTTCTCCAACATAACATTTTTGTCTTGCCTAGATCAAAGGATGATATTAATGTAATGCATCAGAGCCTCAACTTCAAAATGTTCAAACATTTTTCTATAAAGTGAAATCCACACGAAAGAATCCTTTCAGAAACAACCTCCTGTTTCAATAACAAAACAAAGTGAATAATACAAACCAAATTCAATAATATGAATCGGAGCAATATTCAAGTTAAAACTAAACATCCACTGACGTCTAGGAGGTTACGTGATTAACAGTCCATAAAAAGTAGAGTCACTCTCAACATATACATTGTTCTCAGATGATTATGAAGAAATTTGGACAATGGAAAGGAGATCTCGAAAAAGAAAAATAATGTCGAAGCAAAATGCATCCCTGCGGAAGCATAGTTGATAAATCTGGCATCAAGTGTACCTAGAAGGCAATCAGAAATAAAGGCACCTAAAAAGGTTGTCATTTCCACATACGAGAAACTTGTGAGGTTATTTTAACAGAAGCTGATTCTTTCCCCTTTTTACTCAATTCTAATTGAGGAAAATCTATTAAGCAGAAGAAACATCAGATACCATCCTAGTCATAAAGAAAATAGTGAAAAATGTCAACTCGTGACATGTATTACTAAGCAGCTATGTGGTTCGGAAAGTGTCTTTATTATTTATGTTGTTTCAAAAGTACATGACTGACGATAACGCAAGCGAGGATAGAAACAAACAGGGAAAGCCTTATACCTTCAATACATAAGAAAATTACCAATGAGACAATAGAATCACCCACCTTTAATTGGGTATAAAAGAAAATCATTAAAAAATTTAGCCACTGACCTTAACCATTATGTCTCTCATAAAATCATATTCAAAGCGCTTTAGCTGAAGCTGAAGAACTGGAGGAAAGTCGATGAACAAGACCCCCTTCTTGGCATCCTAGGATTACAAAAATAACTCTTTAGAATAATATTCAATGAAGAGAAGATCATTCAAATGAACTGATATGTGCATTACATCATAGACCAAGGAACACACCAAAAAAGACATATGAGCATTAACAAAGTAACTGAAGTTCATAATATTTACAATTATCAACTTTCTCCACTAGCCTGAAAATTGGGCTTTGACAGAGGAAATGCATTAGAACAGAATGTCACAACTAAGAACCATCAACTAAGAAAAGTATGTTCAAACAGCATAGGAAAGCCTTTCATTGGGTGACCAGAAGAATGGAATTAACCAGTTCCAATTGCTTCTCAGACTAATCAAGCATTATGACCGTAAAAAAAAGCCCTTTTCCTTACATCAGAAGATTGTGTAATGGATCAAAATAGTGAACATCTACCCTTCCATGCTGCCAAAAATTAACAAAATGGACAAACAAGATATGAACTCCTCAGATTATTGGTACCAGCAAGCATCCAGCCAGTCAACATTATTTGCTTAACAAAACAAAATTCTGTTGCATCAGATGGAGGTGCACCTTTGGAGGTGCAAGTTGTGTTCCAGAATTTTGATAGACTAGCGATATTCTGTAAAACTTATGTCTAAAGGGCAAAAAATACAAAACAACACTATCCAATAAGCTTAGACAAAAGCAGACAGAGAAACTCAAACATCTTGAAGTTGGAAGATGGAAACTGAAAGTACGAACATGAAATGACACTACAATGCCACGTCATCTCCATGCATTAAATAATTATGCAAAAAAATGTCCATGACATACCAAATACTAGAAGATATAAATCGACATGGAAGCAAATAATTTTTGTGATCAATTGAATTATATACAAGGAGTAGCGTTCAGAAGGGAATGCACAAACATAAACAAACAAGCACCTTTTTTTTTTTTTTTTGGAGTATGAACCACTTGACCTATCACGACGACTTCGTGCTCTTGTACAGGCTGACAGATATGGAATTCTTAATATTAGAGGACGTTAGTTTGCTTCTCATTTTCTTTCTTAGTATATGAAGTAGTATTTCCCCATTTATTTCATTCGTTTATAGGTTGCAATGTTTTGCTTTTGGGAGGCCAGGTTTGTGCCTCCCATTCCTCTTGTTCTCGTGAGTTTGATTATATATATGGTCGAGGAATCCTAACCCCAATCAGCCTGCCTTGGTGGAGATTGAAAACTCAGTGATGTGGTGGTGATGTTTTGCTTAAAAAAATGTTCATTTTCAGATTCTAAATAATCGGGAAATAGTTGTCCAATGGTGGCATTAGAAAATCAAAATGCTTAATTTTGAGAATTAACTAAGGTACTTAATAGACGTTAGTGATTTACTAATTCAAGATCAAAGTAAGCAACTTTTACAAACAAACACGTGAAGGAAGCAGAACTTGACATAAATGTTATCTAAACGGTAGAAATTTGGGTGCCTATAAATTGGTTCTATGGTCAGGCAGGACTAATTCTAAACAAGACAGTGACTTTTGACCTGAAAACAGGCAACAAATTTATCGAGGACCCCCTGCTCCAGTTTTATCCATGTTAAGGGGTTTCCTTTCCTTTTCATTTTTCCTATTGGATGTACTTCATCAGACTGCTATATATCCAAACAAGTTTTAAAGTGCCACATAACACAGCCTCGTGGAAAAAGGTATATGCAGTACAGGACAATCTACACTGTACCAAGCGATCCATAATGCACCAAAAGGACAAGATCAATTTCTTAGATATCACCAGGTTTGTTCAAAAATTTGCTTGCCTAAACCATATTACTGCTATAGATCATTGTTTGTAAAAGGGGGAAACGAGGTATGCCTCAAAGTGAGGGGCACACCTTCAATGCCACAAGGAGCAAATTACAATGCTATTTTATTGAGGCGGTGCCTCAGGTTTAATGTGAAATTTGAATTTTTTTTTCTTTTTTCAAGTCCAAACATGACTTTCAGATGAAAGAGCCTTTTTAATTGGGCCCGTATTGCTCTCAGTAAATAACAAAAAACAAAAGAAATGGGCTGACGTAGGATGCTGTGGAACAATTATAGGAAAAGGAAAGGACAAAAAGAAGAGAAAGAAAGGGGAGCAGCAAAAAAGAGAAGTGATGGCGAGAGGAAATCCGTTTATTTCATAAATCAAAATTGTTTTTATTACAATGCAAAAGACCATGTTCTATGTAAGGAAATGCTATAAAAGCTATTAAATCATACTTTAATTGTGTTTCCTAAAATAAGCATCAAAATTGGAAACTACATATAAATAATATCTCTTGTAATATTCTATCATGGGTCCATCAATTGTTTGACTAAACAATAAAAATACCCAAACAACCCCACACCTTGCCAATCCCCCAAGACCCAAGAAGCTTCTTCCACAAGATTGCAAGGCAACAAGCAGTTCTAAGACTCCGACAGATATTATTTTTCCTCTTTTTTCAGCATTCTCTCTCTCTCTCTCTCTCTCTCTCTCTCTCTCTCTCTCTCTCATTTTAGTTTTTTTTTATTTCTCAGATTCTTCTTTTTTGTATTTTTTTTATCATTTTTTTAATAGATTTTTTGGTGTGTTGTGAGGCTTACGCCTCAATCCGCCTCGAAGCGACTCACAAACAAAGAACGCCTCAATTACCCATGTCCGCCTTCTTACATTGAAATAGATAATACCTTACAAAATTAGAAATCACGTAGATAATACTCATCAAAATAAGATACAGTTCAAAAAATAGCACATCCCAGAGGGAGCAAGTTGTAGTTGCCTACAGGTGTAAGGCAGGCCAGGTCATGCAGTCTTTGTATGAACCAGCCCAGCCAAGTATGGCAGGCCTAGCAATCAAAGGTCACACAGCAAGTGGGCTGCCGCATGGCTAGGCCAAGCAGCCTAAATGTCGGCCTTCACCACTTTACACCCTAAGTTTGTGACCCATTATTGCTTTTAATCAGCATCTTGATGTTTCATGAGCACTCAAAATATTTTAAAAGAAAAGAACTATTTGCATGTCTTTTAATGCCTCAACATATTACAAAATGCAGCCCCCACATAAAGGGAACCATAATCCTGAATTACATTCCATCTCTGAATTGTGGAAGTCAGCGAGGTGCAGATCATGACACGTGTGAAAGGAATATATCAGTTAAGAAGACAGAGCTTCATTGTCTTCATGTTGAACTTTAGATCATAGGGGATATGCAAAGTATATATTTCAGTAACGATGGGTAGATGTGTCACATTTGCCAGTCTTCAAGTTACTAAGCCCCTGTTTGGTTTAGCTAAATATCAAATTCTTAGTTGATTTTGATAAAAATTGACAAAATGTGTGGTTGAAAAGTTGTGGATGCCATGAATGTGTGATTAAAATTAATTGTTGACTTAAACTTGGATTTTTATCAACTGTTTTAATTGAACCAAACAGGTGCTAAATGTTTATTTGATTGTGGTTTTTTACAACTTCAACAACCACATACTTTGGTTTTTAACTTGCTCCTTTGATATCGAATTGGCCTCTTCCAAGTGCTTCAAAATCCAACTGACTATGTAAATATATACCCACCTTCTGAGCTAAGAAAACATAAAGGTCACACAATAGATGGGTAACATTTAACTCTAAAAACCCAGAAAAAAAAAGGATATGCACAAATTTAATACATATAGGTTGAGTCAGGCAGCCTCCACAGTAGGTCACGATATGCACAAATTTAATTCAATTAAAACTTCATTTCAGATCCATTTGCCTCCTCCCATTTAACTCAAATTATTTTTCATTTCACATGTCCATCTGATCCTAATGTGTCCCCACATCCAGAAGCCCAATTTCACTTCCTCCAAATTCCTAGAAACTTATTCCCCCCTCCCCCTCTCTATCCCAAATTCCCAGAAGCGTCTATTTCTCCCGTCTCTTCCACTTCTGCCCTCCTCACAGCGACCAAACATCTTTCTGCACACCATTTCTTTGCTGTCTGGACTCTATGTATTTCTTCCACAGACATGTGTCCAGATTAATAAAAAATAGGGTGTGTCCGGTGTCAGAGACATGTCGAACAGCGACACTTGGCTTTGGTGGTGTGTTGGACTGCATCAGGAAAAATATAGGTTGGTATCACTCAACTCAAGATGATCCTTTTATCTCTATTGAAGATACCACTAAGAGAAAGCACAACAAGTGAACACGCACAAATTATGTCATCCTCTATCAGAGGAGTATCAAACCTGCAAACCATGTTCTTCGGCATGATATTTATTATCTCCTTCAAGACGTTCAACTTCCACGTACTTGTCAAAGGAGGCATAAATATCCTTGCAGCCTTTGACATCCAGTTGAAGGTCTGCCACCACATTTACGAGAATAAGTTCATCTGTCTAACATTAACAAATAGAGAACAACTCTGGGAAGCAACTAACCATAAAATGATTCTTTTCTGGTAGATTTGAAGTCTACATTGATACATTCTATGTAGTTCATGTTGTTCCCTTCAAACAACTTTTGTATTGTCCCCTCTACAACAGTTCCCTGTGCCAATAAAGACAATTGAAAATAGGTCATCAATCAATTTATCATAAGATTATATGAGAATCAAGGACATTTCAAAGAAAGGAGAAATGCTGTCAGAACCATACCTTCATCTTGTCTTCAAGCTTTTCACACAAAACTCTATTAAGTTCTTGTACATCATGCTGCATAAAGGAATCATATGTGTCCCATCCAAAAGATTTAGTCAATTCTTTTGTAGCCACACTGGTGTCATTATATTGAAGCTTATAGAATAAACTCTGTAAGGCCAAAGGTATGCTCCCCGAGGGCATATCATTCTCTGTCGTGGGCATATGATACACAGCCTGATACAACGCAGTACAAATTAAGGCCTCTTCAATGTTTACCCAATAAATGAACTCACAAGACAAACTATTTTGCAAATCATGACCAACCTTTCTGAAATAAGGGATGTGGTACAATGTTTGAAGGAGAGAGTTCATGTAACAAGTTGCTCCCTGATTCTTAAGTCCAACATAACCTGTCTCCTTCTTCGAGTCATATGTCAAGTAATCAATGACCTTCCGGACAGCAACATCAGCTTCCACAACACATGTATCATTAACGAGATACCCCTTACTGGGGTCATAGAGCTCACTAAGAGGCATGAAAGAAGTGAAACCCCAATCACTCTCCCTTTGACTGAACTGGTGTTGTGTGTCTGTTGAATCCACAAAATAGAGTTATATATCACAGCATTCGTTATCACAACACTACTTGCATGTTTCATTTGAGTGGAGGGACAGACAAGTTTCAGGTTCATTCAAAAAGAGAAGTTCACCCACTTATCAAATTTTTATACTTGTGATGCTTATAAGGACAAAGTGATAACTCGGCAAGATTATTACAATCTTCACTTCAATAACTCCACCAAAAGCATGGAAACTTGTAGACAAGGATCTAAATAGTAATCACTGAGCAATATGCACGAACTAATTTTCTAGAAGGGCATATTAAACATGCAATTCAGGAAAAGGGAAATAATGTAAAAACCACATGTGTATACCTTTTGAAGACTGATTTTTAGTTAGTCACATAATACCTAACCCTTCCCAACAAACAAGCTGTTTTGAGAAAAGTAATAAGGTACGACAATGGAAAAAATTCTTAATGACAAATAAACCAGTCTGTTAATGAATACAATGGGTCCACTTATATTTTATCCTTCTAGGTAGTTTGCAAATGAATGTTTCTTTTCTTTTTTCTTAGGGGATTCAATTGTGGCATTAAAACACAAGGGTTATTGAAATAGGTAAAAAAATAATAAAAAACATTTTCACAAAAATAATAAAAACAATAACTAACATAGAATACGAAGTGAGTAAAAGTGATACATGGGTGTAAATAAGGAGCAGAAAGTGATTAAGGAAAATCTTTGATGTGAATAAGGAAATAAAAGTGAATGCAAGATCGCATTTTAGCTACAAGAGGAAAATTAAAAATAGGGAGAAGTGCTAGGAGATACCCTTTTTTACTGTATACTTGCTATGGATTTGGTTGACAATAGCCAAGCTAAACTGCGCATATCTAGTCCAACCATATGGCAAGGTTGCTGAATCGGCCACATCTAAATACATTGACAAGTGCTCCACATTGTTTCCTTTTGGAAAAATAAGCACCCGCCTGACCAAGACAATAGAAGTCAAAAAGAAATGACGTCCTTCTTCATAATGAGGGATAACATAAACAAGAAATTCTCTTCTTAATATGCACCAATTAAAATATCCTTCCTAACATGGTACAAAATGGATTTACCATTTATAACCTCCAACGACAAAGACCTCAGAATAGAGCTTCTTCAAATTCATGCGAGAAAAGTTCTCAATCACCCATGTGAACCGTGATGCTTGTGGCTCGTCACTTGCCTGGTTCTCCGTTGCCCCAGCATTGTTCGTTGGTGCCACTGGTATATCATACACAAATTCAAAACCCAATTCAGTGGCATCAATATAAATAAAAGAAGTTGGCAGATCGAACATTTGATTGCCAAAAGTAACTCAGAAACCAATCAATTGAATCAGTACTTCACCGGTATGCACTCATGTTATATCGATAGAGACAAATTTAAGCATCATGGAGCAAAGGCAAACCTTCCATGGGCTGAGGACTTTCGACTAAAGGCTGAGGACCTTCAACTAAATCTGAGTGTGGCACCAGCATCTCTTCGTCTCCCTGTTGCTAAAATACCAAAATAAAAAAAGCAAAAACAATATTCAAGTTAGATCCAGTAAACCCTAGCCTTTTGCCGCTAATAAACCCCAATCCTTTCCTCAGTAAGTGAATTGACATAATTGTGCAAACTTCTCAATTCCGCTACTCAAACCTCCCGTTCCATTACCGAAAAACCCTAGTCGATCACAATCCCCCAGTCCCCATGCACAGAGAGAGAGAGAGAGAGAGACACACACACACACAGAGGCACGGCCAATTGTACACCATGAAACAAAATTAAAATGGAAATATGGGTGCATGCATATAAAGAGATAAATAGATAACGAAAGTGAGTAGTGAAATTGGAGAAAGAGATGGGAGTTACTTCCAAAGGTTGAGGAGCCATCATCGTCATGATTGGATAAATTACAGCCGTCCGATCGATGAATCGCGGAACAATTAATATAATTTGAGAAGAGAAAGAGGAGGGGAGAGAAACATTGAAACAGAGAGATTGCTTCTGGGTTTTCTGTGATTTGGTTCTCGATTGGGATACGTTAGGCATTTAGTATAAAGATTAGGGTATATTACCGGAAACGGTTGCTGTGTGCGATTGTAGTCGAGTTTTTAGAAACCAGTGAGCACGTGCCGTCGTGTAGTTGGTTATGTAATAGCGTGGAGTGATTTTTTGTCATTTTTGAGACATCACTAATTATATCTTATTTAGTACTGATAATTTTGAAATGTGAAAGATAAGTGTTGAGCTTCGTAATTTATTTAATGTAAATTAGAACACATTTTGAAGTAACATTTATAATAATCAGAACTATTTTTCTTGAAAGAAATGTTGGATAATAAAATTGTTACCAAGGACAAAAACTACATTTGATTATCCAAAATTATAGGTGCAAACAAATAATGGAGTGAAAGTGTTCAATGAAAATATAGTTGGTGTTCATATTTTACGCTTTCCAAGTTCAATATATCTACTTCCATATTTGAGTGTCTTTGTAAAAGATACAATGATTCGTGTAGCAAAATAGTTGTAGAAAGAGACCATTCACTAAAAATTACAAAGCCTCGAGCATTTGCATTAAATAAATGATATAATAACAAATTTACTGTCTTAGGTAAAAATGTATTTCATTGACGAAGTAGAAATTGAACACTATCTACAAGAACTCACAGAGGAAGTTTACAGCAAAACTATAATAGAGTGCTATACTATAAGATTTTATTTATGCAATAACCTGACCAATTTTCTTGGAACCAATAGATACAATAACTGTTATATGATAAGAAAGAGTGTCATTCATAAGCACTACGTATAAGATACAAGAATTTTTTATCGACAATTTCAAAAAGAGAGTCGTGATAAATAAAAAAATATTTGAAGGAGTGTTAGCTACAAAATCCCACATCATGATGCATACAGATTTAGAACTCCACTATTAAAAAAAACCTCCTATTATTTATGCTTGGACAAACACGACCCAATATTATTTTTCGGTATTTACATGTCGGAGTCATACATAAAGAAACCCACAAATTACATTGATGACAACAATGCTCATACATAAACCCATTCAAATGAATCGATGTTCAATGTTTGTTAAACAAACCTCAATCGACTTGATGAATGACTCATTGCAAGAAATAAATAAATAAATAAATAAATAAATAAATAAATATATATATATATATATAATTGAACGCTACGTAATGTTAGAATCTAAAACTAAAAAACAAATATGCAAACATCATCAAGAACAAACCAAATATGAAATTGACGTACCTACGGTCAGCAATCCTAAATTTTGTTGCTAACGTTATGTTCTGCTGCAAGAGTTTCACACGACTTGGAAAAAAAATAAAACTAATAAATTAGAACCCAAAACACACAACAAAAGCATGAAATGAAAATATTTTAGGTACATAAAATAAAAGTAATAAATGGTGGAGTAAACTTAAGGCTGGAAATCGAAAAGTTCCACACGTAAAAACACACTCTTCAATACAAAAGCACATACTTCGACTAAACTTATGTAACCCATATAATTAACACAACGGCATATTGATTCCATCATAAACAACACAACTAAACCTAATTTACAAGTTCCGAAACCATTTCTCGCCTTAGTCTTCATCCTCTAGGGGTAACGCAAAAAACCGACCAATAGTAAAAATGAATCAAGTTTTATAATAATCAACTAAACCATGTCTATTACTTTGTCACATTCCACAATTTATACAACATCAGTGCTCATTACATTCTTTACCTTTTGCCAAACCTTTCTTCAAAACTCCAAGTTACAATGGCCTCTCAATAATATGAAATATAAACATAGTTTAGACATTTTTTGGTCGATCTCCTAAGAAAACCAAAAAAAAAAAGTCCATTATGCTGTAAGACTTTCACATAACTCGAATCAAAGATAAAAGTAATAAATTAAAACACAAAAACAAAACAAAAATATGAAATGAACATAGTTTAGGTATTTTTTGTTGGATCTCATAAATACAGAACAAAAAGTGGAAGATGTAAAACTAAACACCAAAATTGAAAAAATTTAAATAGATCGTAGATTCAACAATAAATTTCATATTCAACACCACAGATGAAAAAATCGAAAAACATATACATAACACCCTAAACCCTAACCTTTACGTATCTTGAACTTGACATGTACAAAGATCGAACAAAAAAAATGAAAATAAAGCGTATCATCAAAAGAACAAACCTTAGACATTTTTGGTTCGATTTTGTTAAAGAAGGAAAAAATAACAAAAAATCTCAGAAATATACCATAGTTGAAGGTATCGAAAAACATATACACAACACCCTCAACCTTAAAAACCCCTTAAAACATGACTTTAAGTTACTTGTTCACATTGCACAGTATATACAAAAAAAGAGGTCCATATCTCTATTTTGTTTTCATACAACATTCGTGTCTTAGTAAATTCTTTAACCACGAATACAATTAATGTTTAAAACATATGGAAAAATCATATTGCACAAAAAAAGACAAAAAAAGAAATTTAAATTATCTACTGCTGGACTCTGTTGCTCCTCAACTTACATCATTATTTTTTGACAATTGTTGTTCAAAACTCCAAGTTATAATTGTTTCTCAGTACCTTTCGGAAAATCAATTAGGTCTCGTTATAAACTGAAATTAATAGGAAACTATTTAATTATAAATAAGTAAATAAGAATGGAAAAAAATATTTTGACATTTATGGGAATCTGGGAGACCATATGTACAGACTTGGATGTAGATAAAACTCAAACAGCGTGCATCCCGGAAAAAAAATAATTATTGCGAAAAATACACATGCTTAAATTAGTTTCAACTCCATTTGTAAACACCAAATTCATGTTTAGAAGACACACAAAGGTAAATTATATAAAGCGAGTTCCATCAAATCGGTCTACAAAGGTAAATTATATAAAGATGAACACTAGGGCTGTCCGTGGGTCGGTTCGGTTCGGTTCTGAAGATACCCGAACCGACCCAAAACTTTCGGGTATTTAATAAATGGACCCGTCGGGTCCAAATATAATTATGGAACCGTTCGGGTTCGGTTCGGTTCGGGTCGGTTCGGTTCCGTTCGGTTCCGTACCATAATTAAATTTTTTAATATTTTCAGCAACACTACATAAATACAATTAATAACATTTCATTCGTAACTTTTACAAATTAACGTAGCCCAATTCAAAAAAATATACAAAACTAGCCGTCCAATAAAATTAATTCAATGCATACAAATACCAAAAAGTAGATATTAATATTACAGCAAAATTACATAAAGTATATTCATTTGCTTCAAATTAAAATGGGCTAATGGATTTTAAAATGATTTGGGCTTAAAAATTAAAATTATGAAATAATCTAATTTATTCAATTAATTTGCTAATTTGTATAGGAAAAAAATAAAATAATTTAATTAATTCAATATAAAAAATAAAAAAATTATTTAGTTTCGGTTCTTGTTCGGTTCTTCGATTCTTGGTCTAGACCCGAGAACCGATCCAAACCCATCGGTTCTCGATTCGGGTACCCGTTCGGGTATTTAATTTATGAAGAACCGCTCGATTCGATTCGGTTCGGGACTTTTGGACACTCCTAATGAACACAAGAACGTAATTGAGAAAAAAAAAATTGTAATCTCATCATAAAATAGAAGAGAAAAAAGAAAAAAATTCCTCTGTGCAGGCGGAGACACAGTGCGAGGAGACGGACACCGTGTCCGCGTCGTGTCCGGACACCGTGTGCCCGTGTCAGCATCGTGTCCAGGCACCGCGGGGACACGGTGTCTACATATTGCATGGAGGTTTTTTTTTTTAAAGAGTGCTATATAATAACAAATTGAATAAACTATTATATAAACCCATAGCAAAACTAATTATTAAAGTAGAAAACGTAATCCTACCATTTATCAAACATTTTCCCTGCCCATTGTTCTCCGGATGGCATCGAGGTCCATGCCCCTAAAGGTGAACTTCTTGAACGTCCTCTTCTTCAGTTACCAATTTGCAACATTGCTCTCTCCATCTGCCTGCACACAACCACACAATGAGCCAAAATCAGCCAATTAAACTCACTCGTGTTTTCATGTGAAATAGAGAGAAGGAGATGCCATGATTTTTTGTGGAGATTGGATGCTTACGCCCGACGAGAAATCTGGGGAATGCAGCTAGGGTTTTTTGGTTGTTTTCATTATTCTACAGAGGGAGAGAGTGAAGAGAAGAAATGAAATGAAAAGAAATAGAGAAATGCTCAAACGATATAGTTTTGGTTGACAATAGGAGAATCCAACACCTGTCCAGAAAAAAACCGTTTCTTTTATATTCTTTAGGAAGCCAATGGTGAAGAACCTGTATTTTGTTTTTATATATATATTATTTTTTATTCTAATTTTCCAAACTTGGACTTCTAGAAAATTTCTTTCGAGTGGCACTAGTAAAAGATTTTAATTTTGAACAGTCTCCTCTCCTTCTTGTCTAAAAAATGGACTAGGAATAGTAAAAAAGAATATTAAAAATATTTTTTGAATTGATTGGCAATTTTAATTTGAGAAGGGAAAATTATCTAGTTTCCTTATAATTCTTTCAATTTTCAGCTATTTAATGTAAATATTTTACCTAATTTCCTTGTGTCTATGGAGGACTAGAGCTCTTTCCAGTCCCTCGTGAGCCTCTTCTTTTAACCCACCATTTTTCATGTGTTTCATGAAGAATTAGATCTTTGGGAGTTGGCTCTTCCACGTTTTTGTTGCACTTTCGATGAGAGATTGAGAAGTGTCTATGAAGGAGTAAGTGTTGAAAATTAAAAACACTTCTATTCCAATTTACACGAAAAAAAATAAACACTCAAAAAATGTAGAACTCGTAAAAGTGAGATT